ATATATACACTAGCTAGTTGTTAGTTTGCTGGAGTAGTAGGAGGAACAAAGTAGTTTCAAATAGATGATAAACATATTTCTATACATGAGAAGGACAACTCTCCAGCCGCTGATACTCAGAAAAATCCATTTCACCAAATCTCAATAAAACAACCAATTAAACTCTTAACAGAAACAAAAAAAAAAAATAATTCGAATATGTTGGTCTATCTTTCACTCTTTTCTTCCTCTATATTTTCTATTGTCACCATTAATCTTTCCCCATCACATCCTCTTCTACTCCTTATGCATATAATTTACTTCCCATGTTATTAAGGATGAAGAAGTGTGGGCGATGGAACAGTAATCTGTCCATATTTGTGATCGTATTTTCCATATTCCTCTTTGGATGCTTCATGTACTATGAGGAAGTCGAGATAATTACTGAATTCCCATTTTCCATGATCAAAACTCTTGGTATTAACAAAGTTTCATCTGTAGTGATGAATTTAAGAAGAGAGGGTTTCTTTATACAAGACTTAGTGAAAGCTGAAGGAAAAACAGAAACAGAAAAAGTTGAAATGCCTACTCATTTAGAAGAGGAGAATATTGAGTTGCCACCTGAAGATTGTGATCTTTTTACAGGGCAATGGGTTTATGACAGTGTCACTCACCCTATTTACCAAGAGCCTGAATGTGAGTTTCTCACAGCACAGGTCACTTGCATGAGAAATGGAAGAAAGGACTCCATGTATCAGAATTGGAGGTGGCAACCCAGAGACTGTTCTTTACCCAAGTATGACGTGGATCATTTTCTGATTTCTTGATTTTTTTAGTCTTTCATTATCTTTCTATTTCAATAACATTTTGGTATTTAAATTTATAGGTTTGAACCAAGGTTGCTGCTTGAGAAACTGAGGAACAAGAGACTCATGTTTGTTGGAGATTCGCTGAACAGAAACCAATGGGAATCCATGGTTTGTTTGGTTCAATCAGTAGTTCCACCAGGCAGAAAAAGCTTAAACAAGACTGGTTCTTTATCTATTTTCAAAATCGAGGTATATATCTTCGCTTTTCCCCTTTTAAAGAAGCAGCGTTAGCTTTGATTATCTCATGTATACTTCTCTCCAAGACAATGATTATGCCCTCATACATGACTCGTACTCCTCTTAGGAAACACCTTATTTATTGCTCCTATTTAAGTTATAACCGCGGTTAAGAGCCTGTTTGGCCCAAGCTTTTAAAAGGTCAAAAGTGGTGATTTTAAAAACGAAAATTACCAATTCTGTCCACCCATAAGCAACTTAGTATAAAAATTGGTTAATTTATAAAATATTACTAATATTATCCAAATACTATCAATATTAACCAATTAGCTATTTGTAGACAATAAAGGTGGGTGTTGTTGGAATAGATTGAGTACATCTTTAGGAGTTTGAATCTCAGTTTTGGGATGATTTAGCGGAATTTGGAGGTGGTTTGAATTCAAAATTCAAAGTAGAAGATGAACATAGAAAAAGATAATTTGTGTATCACAATGTGTATTCTTTGTGTATCACATATGTATCATATGTGTATCAAATATGTATTACATGTATATTCATGTATACCTATATGTGAGATACATGTTGATACATGTGTCGCAGAAGTTTTTTACACTGGATTTTAATTACGAATTTTGATACTAAATCACTCCCAATCTTGCTCAAATTTTATATATTGCATTATCTATATGTTTTCAACGAATTCTAACCATACCCATTGAAAAAAAAAATTATTTTTTGCCTAATTTCTTTTTTTGGTAATATTGTATATCATTGATAATGAATTTTGACTCCAAACTAGTCTAATTCACCTTCAAACTTCGCCAAATTTTGTATATTGCCTCATCAATATATTTTCAATCGATATATGTTTATATTTTTTAGTATTGTATATCATTGGTAATTTTTTTGGCTATTTTTGGTAGCGTGACTAAAATAGCTAGTCATTGGTAAATAGTATCTTTTTCGGTACATTTCCATAAGATTCTAATTTAAAAAATATAATATTTAGAGAATGAAGGTGTTGACCAAGTTTTTAGTGAAAAAAATATATTTTGGAATACTAAATTTTTTTATTTCCTTTTACGCATAAACTAAAAAATAGCTTATCCAAAAAAAATAAGTGCTTGTGATTTTTTAAAGTAAAAATTCTCACATACAAAATAATGACATGTTATCCTCCATAAAGAACAGAATTAATTGGTAACCTGGTATATAATGCAAGTTACAATAAGTAGCAGCCATCATTATATTGGTATACTATGTAAAATTAACTATCTATAACAGTCCTACCCAAATATTGATTGATTTTGCTTTTCACCATAGTAATACTAATTTTTATTGATTTTACTAAATTATCCACTTTCGTTTATGTAATTTATTCTCATATTTAAAGCACTAGCTACAACTTTGGCGTCATAAAGTCAAATATAGAAATAAAATATCTGAATATATTCTATAACATAGAAATCTAATAAGATATTTTGTATAGCACAATAATTTATTAGCTTTTTAAAATTATTAACTAATAAACCATGAATATCTGTTGAGATTTTAAATTTAAATATCTTATTTACTTTTCTAACAATTTTCTTATTTGAAAAATGACTTTTTTGCGTAATTTTTTATTTATAACAATCAAATAAGATTTAGATGTCAAATGTTATTATAGGTATATAACAATCATTTGCTACAGTAATAAAAAAGAATATCGGGATAAACGATGCCATTATATAGATGTTTGGATATAGCTCTTGATATGTGTATGTAAGTTAGATCATTTAACTAAATGAATAGTGTTGCTTAATATTTAATCTTGATTAGATGGATTGGGTCATCAATGGGGAGACAGACAGATTCTCTATATAATAAGTCCACCTGAGTTTTCTTTCTTTAGTAACAATGTGAATGTAAAAATGTAGGATTATAATGCCACAGTGGAATTTTACTGGGCTCCATTTCTGGTGGAATCAAATTCAGATAATCCAAACTTCCATAGTATATTAGACCGGATCATCATGCCTGAATCAATCGAGAAGCATGGCAAGAACTGGAAGAATGTGGACTATCTCATCTTCAACACATACATTTGGTGGATGAATACTTTTGCCATGAAAATTCTGTAAGTAATTAAGACATAAAGAATCTAGCTTCATATTTTTCCTCTTCAGTATTAAACATTTATGTTTAACATTATTTTCGGACAAAATACAAAACTGGCGGGTTGGTTTGAAACTAATTAATTGCATTGACTTGCCGAAAAGTTATAAAATATGTATATTTTTAGTATGTAATACACGCGCGCGCGCACATATATATA